AAAAAAAAAAAAAAAAAAAAATGGCTGGCATTGTATGTAGCTCATTGCGAAGGCCCTGAATTCAATCACCAGGAACATCTCCTAAAAGTTGATTCCTATTCTGAAAATTAATCTCAGAAAATACATTTGTTATTCAAATAGCCCTGAGATAGTTGCTACATTAAAAATTTCATTTGTAGAGATTTATAAAAGAAACTACCAGTGTACTTTGATACTTTTGAATAAAGACAAAAGGATAATTAACAGTATAGAAAAATGATTTGTATTCATGCTGCAATGTTAGTAACTTTTAAGAAGCAATTAACACTGTCGAATAACACTATTTCTGAAATTGTTTCTCCATTTAAATTTACACACCTAAAAGGATTTCTAGAATCTATTTGGAAATAGGTAATGAAGATTGTTAAGACGGTTGATTTTAAAAATCACTTCCATGGGACTTACAGTGTCATAGAATTTTATAAAACCACAATTTTATTAGGTGTACTGGACTTTCAATTGTATCCATATGATAAATATGCACATAAAATACATATTTACTTCTTAAGAAAACCATTTATGAAAGTATTACCCACAATAATGAATTAAAATGAAAATATACCCAAACTTTCTTTCAGGTCTATTGTAGAGAATTCAGTTTATCATGGAATTTGACTTACCATGTAAATGAAAACACACAAAAAACTTAATAGTTTTTATTTTGCCATTAGCTACCCAGGTTCAGGTTAACAATTATAATTACTTTTCTACTCTCATATTATTTCTTTCTAATCTTTTTTTATGAATAAAACATTTAATTATGTATTACTGTGCTCTTTTTCCAAATAATTATTGCTTTAGAGTTTAGTGAGTCAGACACCTGAATACCACAGTCATTAACCTGTTACTATAAGGGTCTGTTGCATTGTGAGTAACTTAGTTATCCTTGTGTTACTCAATCATATGATCTCAAAAGAGACTGCTGATCATTTCACTATTTGGGGATTTGAAAAATAAAATACCCTGGTCTTGTAGGTAATGCCTGGGTGTTTGTATTTTTTCATTCACATATATATTAATATTTTTAAAAATCTAACAAGTGCTGACCACATTAACTTAAAAATATTTGTATTGATAAATACTTTGCTCTCTTTTTCAGACAACTGTAATAAATTCATCTCTATTTATCTTACCTTCAGGTTGGATTTTAAAATCACCTACACCTAGAAATTTTTCTAGCAATTTGAATTTCATTTACATTTTTGAGATAAGACCGGAAGATTCTCCATTTGAAAGATGGTAATAACTCTACTTTCTTAAAATGAAATGAAAGAATAGCCACAATCAGGTAATTTAGGAGTATCTGAACATTCTTGACAAAATATCAAGGAAATAAAGCATATTAAACATAAAAGATCAATGATGCAACTCTAGTTTCTTATGACTTGCTATAAAATTAACTGAGGGAGACTCAGCTCCTTTTGGAAGTGAATTTAATGCTTAGTTTCACAGCCTTCTTTATTCCCAAAGGTTATGAGTAAGAAACTTAGAGCTATCTAGGGATAAAGTCCTTGACTTCCATGCATTCCAAAGACCCAATTATCCTAATTTCAAAAAAGCCTTCCTGTCCTCACATTACTTGGAATATTCACCATCTATGTCTGTTTTTGATAGTGTCATCACATTTTGAGCCTGAAATTAGAATGTGCATAAATCATCTCAGAAAAATTAAACTTTCCTAAAAAGTTTTCTGTTCTTATTGGATGAGTGATAGTAGGTCAACACAGTGAATTTTTAAATGAGTCATTCCACTTATTTCAACTTTTTTATTTTTCATTATTTCTCGACCATATAATATTTTTTGGGGGGGTACTGGGCATTGAACTCAGGTCCTTGCGCTTGCAAGGCAGGCCACCGAACTGCTGAGCTAAATATCCGGCCCTCATATAATTTTTTATACTAGTATAAAGTATGGATAAATTTTAAATAGCATTTTCTGTTTTCTTTCAATAATTCTCTGATTTTCATAGTCTGTAATGTTTTTAAAAATATTTTAAGACTACTCTAATAAGTGAAATTAAACATAATCTAGTCTATAATTTTCATATTATTGGATATCATGTTTCTAATATTTAAAAAAATTTACAATGATCACTGATCTGTATGTATCTGGCTGTCTAAATTGCTCTTCCCCAATTTAGTTAAATTCTTGGAGATGAGACAATACAATGAGAGGATACACATTATAAGAGAATTCTTAGTACACATGCAAAAGTATTTCCCTCATGTTTTCCAGAAAGAGGTATTTATTCTTTTCCATTTGTATAAAAATTATTTTACTTTTAATTTGTATAATTGTTTGCTACATCGAACACTTCCTCTATGTGTATTCACTTTCTCTATGTGTATTTTCTGTTCATATCTTTTATTTAACTCTCTCTTGAAATTTTAATAGTTTTTCCCTTTAATTTCATGAACTTTTAATACGCTATACGATTAAAGCTTTGCTGCTCTAATTTTCTGCAAATACTTTTCCAACTTGTGGCTTTCCTTATTTTTAATATGCTTTTTTCATATTAAGGTAAGATTTTAATATAATCCCTGAAAATTCTGATTAAAACTGTCTTCTATGACAGTATTTTGCTTCATCTGTATGATAACCATGTCTAAGGTATAAAACAAATTGAGACTTTAAAGATATCAAACTTGGTGTGGTGGTGCCTGTGTATAATCCCAGCATTAAAGAGGCTGAGGTAGGAGGATCACTGTGAGTTTGAAGCTAGCCTGGGCTACATAGTGAGTTCAAGGCCATCCTGAACTACATAGCAAGACCCTGTCTCAAAAAAACCGAAACCAAAAACCCAACCAGGCCAAACAAAGCATAAGATCAAGAAGTACTTTTTCAACCTGGTATGGTGGAGCACACCTGTTATCTCAGGACTTAGGAGGTACTCAGTGGGTTTGAGGGCAACTTGGGCTACATAGTGCAAGGCCAGTTTGAACTGCATAGTGATGCCCTGTCACAGAAAACAAACAAACAACCCCCCCCAACCAAACAGATATTAACTAATTTACCAAAATGCTTTGTTAAAGTTATATCATGTCATTTCCCTCTTATCCATTCACGAAATATTTATTGAACATCTGTTAAGGTATATATTCATCTTCCAGGTGAATTTAAAATTTTGGACATAATTCATCTAGATTTGTAATTTTTAAAGATAAATATGAGGAGCCCTATGTTAAAGGTCATAATAGCTCTACCTTTATCTTTATGTTGAGAAAAAATATATTGAGCATAAAGCTCAAAATTATACCAACATTCACATTCCATCAAATATTCAAGGAGCACATGATTTATAATAGCCACATATCCTACTTTATTTTGTTCAACATTTATTTAATATATTGAAAATAGTGAGTATTTATCTTTCATTTTAATATTATCAACAATGCCCCAATAATGATTAATTGTAACTTATTCTATAAGGGGTGTGCTATTTTCTTCTTTGAAATTAATCTCAATCAATGAAATAATTACAAAAGTGGAAGTAATGATAATTAAATGCGTACTCATACAGAGTCACACAAATGCTTTTACCAAATTCTAAATGATTGGATGTTAGTGGTGGAAAACACCTTAAAATAAACTAGTTCTAACTCTTATGAGACGACAGACATACCTGAAGTGTAGTTAAAGGTTACCTTATTTCTGCCTACAAATCCACAGATGGTTAGGATACTTTACAAAGCTACACAAGGACTGTGTCTTGGAAAACTATAATGGTCAGAAGGAATTTTGCATATATATATGTATATATATTATCACCTTTTCTTTGGAA